TGCCCTGAAAATACCTCACCCAACAGATATATCTTGAAGTCCTTAAAGGTGAGCCCCATAACTTGGATGAGAGCTCTAGACCCCTTTTGGTGTTTGCCATTGTTTCTTTTCTTCTGCCTTAGCTCTCAGTTGACTCCCAGTGTGACAAATTCCTCTTGCAGGCTCTTGCCATGGTCGATGATGGTGGTAGCCACTAGGAGCTTGCCAAGGGTGCTGCCTCAGGACGCTTCTAAAGCTGCCAGTTCTGCAGATGCCCGGAGGTTTTGATCTCTGAAAGATGGAGGAATGACCCTGTGCTGAGGGTATTGCTGTGTTTGGTCCTCTTGGCATTGGCAAGTGCTGCCTGAGTTTTTTGTTTATTTTCTTAGCTTTATAACTTGATTTGACAATTGGCAGTTATTATCCATATTGACACTCTGGAGTTTTGAAAGTACTTAGGTAACCAAAGTATAGAGCTTGTTTGGTAAATCTTTGTCCTCATTATGTTTTCTGGACAACCAAACACACACACACACACAGTATAGGCTGTTCCTTTTTCCTGGGAGTTAGACAGCTTTGTTGAACCCAATATCAGTGCACACACCTGGAATCCCCATCCCCTTCATGGGAAATTTCCAGATCTCTTTAAGTTCCCAAGGGTCACGCTTCTTAAAGCCCACTCCATAGATGCAGTAGTGAATATTGATGGCATACTCTTGGCAGAGCAACCCTTCCTCTCATCACCCTTCTTTGTAGGAACCATCCTGAGGGGCCTAAGTAAGAAATGAAGTTCAACAACCTTAAGGTCATGTTTTGATCAGAACTGAAGCCCAAGAATCCAGGATGTCCTGACCCTTAGGTGTCCCTACAAGAATTTGAATTGTTCCATGAAGACTGAGAAAGTGATCCACTTCTTGATCTGAATGTCACTCCTTTTTTATTGTGTAGGGGAACCTGCTAGCCTTGTAAGTCTGAGTATAAATGCTCACATCAACACAGTTCAGGTTGTGTTCCATTAGTCTGTTCCTTCATCTGAGTACTAATGTCATTCTAGCTGGTGGAGATACAACAGCAAGCAATGGAACGTGACTCCTGCCCAACCTGGAACTCACCTGAATCTAGTAGGGGTGTCAGGTAAAATGCACATTGATAGCACATGAACTAAGATCATTGAAAATTTAGGTCTTCTGAGACCATGTGGGCTGGGGATAGTGGGACAGCCTTACAGGGTGTGGGAGAGGAGTCAGGGACAGCCTCCCTGAGCCACTGACAGCTGAGACCCAAAAGTTGGGTAAGAGTTATTTAGGCTAAAGAGAAGAAGCATGTTCCAGGCAGAGGAAACAAAGTTTCCTTGAGATCATGAATTCTATATCATATATTCTGTGTCATACATTAACATATCAGTAGCAACATGGCAGATTCCAGAATGTTAACTTTAAACATGGGTTGTATTAATGTCCATAATAACCCATTATTACTCCATGCCTCGAGACCTTCTTCCTTCTCTGGTAAATCTGTATTAGTGAGTGTTAAAAGCAATGCTAGGGTTCTATGGATGAGCAGTTTTGGGGGTCTAGTTTTGTTCTGTTGACTTAAATCATTTCTAGAATCTAGTTCTTTGCTTAAGCTGTGGAGTTCGGTGACCTCTGGGTGTTTTTTTCAGAGTGGTTCTTGGTTTTGTGCTTTGGTAGGCTGGATTAGCACACGGAAAGCCCCTAACTGTATATGTAAGGGAAATCCCTGGTGCCTGAGGTGCAGATGCAGGAAAACAGAAAAGCAGGCAAACATTTCAAGACAGAGGCTCTGGATGTCAGATCTGGGGGTGCAGCTCAATGATAAGCACAATCTGTGTGCCCTATGCATGGATGTAAACTCTTCCTGGGAACTGACCTGCCGTAGTTCATTCATGCTGCTGTAACAAAACACTAAATGGTGTGACTTAGAAACAATGAATATGTATTTCTTGCAGTTCTGGAAGCTGGGAAGGCCAAGATAAAGGTGCCAGCAGATTTAATGTCTGGTGAAGGGTTACTTTCTGGTTCATAAACAGTGCCCTGTCCAAGTGTCTTTACATGGTGGGAGGAGCTAGCTAGGTCTCTGGGGTCTCTTATGTACAGACACTAATCTCACTCATGGTGCAAAGCCTTCATGATGCAATCAGCTCCCCAAGGCCCCATCTCCCCATACCATTACCTTGGGGACTACATTTAACATATGAATTTGAGGAGGAGGGAACACACCATTAAGACTTTACGATGACATGATCCTTTTTTGTAGAGGGTTGGGTAGAAGCATGAAACTTGGAATGCTTTTTGTATGTATCTTTTGATTTATCAGCTTTTTCTTTTTTAAAATATTTATTTATTTGAAAGGTAGAGTTACATAGGCAGAGGCAGAGAGGGAGAGAGATCTTCCATCTGCTGGTTAACTCCCCAAATGGCTGCAACAGCCAGAGGTGGGCAGATCCAAAGCCAGGAGCCAGGAGATCCAAAGCCAGGTCTCCCACACAGGTGCAGGGGCCAAGCACTTGGGCCAACTTCTAGTGCTTTCCCAGGCCACAACAGAGAGCTGAATCGGAAGTGGAGCAGCCAGGACTTGAACCTATGACCACATGGTAAGCTGGCACTGCAGGCTGTGGCTTTACCTGCTATGCCACAGCCTTGGCCTTGCTAGTAGCTTTTTCATACGTCATGGGTTACAACTTTGTGGATGCTGGCAGACACATCCAACAGTAACCTTTATCTCTGTCATTCTTGTGTCCTCTTAGATGGCCCATGAACTTTGTGATTAAAAAACAATCTTGGCTGGCGCTGTGACTCACTAGGATAATCCTCCGCCTGTGGCGCCAGCACCCCGGGTTCTAGTCCTGGTTGGGGCGCCGGATCCTGTCCCGGTTGCTCCTCTTCCAGGCCAGCTCTCTGCTGTGGCCCGGGAAGGCAGTGGAGGATGGCCCAAGTGCTTGGGCCCTGCACCCACATGGGGAGACCAGGAGAAGCACCTGGCTCCTGGCTTTGGATCAGCGCGGTGCACCAGCCGCAGTGCACCAGCCACAGCAGCCATTTAGGGGGTGAACCAATGGAAAAAAGGAAGACTTTTTTTTTTTTTTTTTTTTTTTTTGAGACAGAGTGGACAGTGAGAGAGAGAGACAGAGACAGAGAGAAAGGTCTTCCTTTGCTGTTGGTTCACCCTCCAATGGCTGCCGCGGCCGGCGCACTGTGGCCGGCGCATCGTGCTGATCCGAAGCCAGGAGCCAGGTGCTTCTCCTGGTCTCCCATGGGGTGCAGGGCCCAAGCACTTGGGCCATCCTCCACTGCACTCCCGGGCCACAGCAGAGAGCTGGACTGGAAGAGGAGCAACCGGGACAGGATCCGGTGCCCCGACCGGGACTACAACCCGGTGTGCCGGCGCCGCAGGAGGAGGATTAACTTATTGAGCCACGGTGCCAGCCAAAAGGAAGACCTTTCTCTGTCTCTGTCTCTCTCTCTCTCACTGTCCACTCTGCCTGTCAAAAAAATATAATAATCTAGGGGCAGGCATTTGGTGCAGTGGTTATAACAGATGCCACTTGTGACGCCTGCATCCCCTATTGGACATTAGCTTGGGTTTGAATCCTGGCTCTGCCTCCGGTTCCAGCCTCCTGCTCATGTACACCCTGGGAGGCTGTAGGTGGTGGCTCAAGTACTTGAGTCCCTGCCATCCATGTGGAAGACCAGACTGTGGTCTGGTCTCCTGGCTTGGCGTGGCCCAGCTCCAGTTGTCGCAGGGATCTGAGGAGTGAACCAGTGGATAGAAGATGGATCTCTCTCTCTCTCTCTCTCTCTCTCTCTGCCTTTAAAATACAAATAAATACATAATTTTTTAAAAACTCGCTCTGATTTATATTTTAGTCAAGACATCTCAGGGGCGGCTGTCACAAGAAGGGTCCAGACTTCCCCCGTCCCTTCAATCTGGGCACCTTTGCTTGGATCTATTTTACACACTATGTTTTCTAGGTAGATTTCTCTTTTTCTAAAGAAAAGTTTCCATTGCTTAAGAAACTTTTAAAGATTACTGTTTTATATTACTTGTGAAATTTATAAAAATAGATGGGAACTGAAGACATTAAAAAATGAAAGGGATAGGAAATGAATATCTTATAAATTTTATTCCATTGAGGAAAAGATGGAAACCACTGTGGGGCAGATGGTGGTTAAGCCAGCTGCATTGTTCTTTTGTATTAACCTCAAAGGAAAAGGGCAAACTTGAAGGCAAAGATTACATGGGGAATTTGTAATACTTTGCACTTGTATGGGGCCAGAAGTCTGTTCAAAGGGAGGTATATTGTTCACCCGTCTTTAGGAATTTGTTGCGTAGTCAGGGCAGGGGTTACCTATACAATTTGAAACAGGTCTAAAAATGTAGATTACAAATGGAACTTACTTTGGCTTCTTTCTCTTTATGTTAAATTGGTGAATGGGGAAAAAAACCTAGTGTTTGAACTTTAAAGAATTTATTTTGTAAGACGTTCTCATGACTTTTTAAATTTCCTTTCCTGAAGGGGCACTGCCATATTGAGTTGTTGCCTGATGTTTATTGAGTGACAACAGTGCCAGGCCCTTTGTTTAAGTATGTGTTATTTAAATAGGATTTGTTTTAAAAGACATGTCTGTGGCAAGGATTGGCAGCTGCTTGGGATGACCACAGCCCATATCAGAGGGAGTGCTAGTGTAAGTTCCACTTGCCCTGCTTCCCATCCAGCTTCTTGCTAATGCATCCTAGGAAGCGGCAGATAATGGCCTAAGCACATGGGCCCCTGCCACTCATGTGGGAGACCCAGATGGAATTCCTGGCTCCGCCTTAGGCCTAGACCATCCTCAGGGCCTATGGGGAGTGAACCAGCAGATGGAAGACCTCAGTCTCTCTCTTTTTCTCTCTCTCTCCCTCTCTCCTCATTTCTCTGTCACTCTGTCTTTCAAATAAATCTTCAATGAAAAAAAAAAAAAAACTCTAAAACCTCAGTAAAAGGATGTTATTATTTGTAGGAAATCTACCTCCTGCTGGCAACCATAGTGAACATTTTGCCTGTGTTCAGCTTTTCAAACCTGGCATTGTTTCACCCATTTCATCATCTGGGAAACAGAACCACGGAAAGTAAAGCAGTTGACTCAGCATCCTGAAGCAAGAAAGTAGAGCTGAGCACCAGAGCTACATCTGTCAGCTACCAGGTCTGTTCCCTACCTGGGGTCCTTAATATAATTAACTGGGTTATCTGAGAACGAAGCAGAGGAAGAGAGAGAGCGAGCATGAGTGAACACACTCCCCGTGCCTGCAACAAGATGAAGCTGAGCGCCTGGAACCCAACCCAGATCCTACACTGGGGTGGCAGGAGCCCGATTACTTAAGCCATCATCTGCTTCCCAGAGGCTGTGTCAACAGGAGGCTGGAATCAGGAGCCAGAGCCTGGAATCAAACCCAGGTATTCTGAATTGGGAAGTCCCTGCGAGGCCAGATGCCCACCCACAAGGCCTACTCTTTGGGTGCTGCAGGGAGCCATCTCTGAGGAAGGAAAGGTGGTTTATCCGGAATGAGGTAGCAGGAAATCTAGATCTTGGTGGAAAAGAGAAATTTCACATGCTGCCCCCCTACTGCAGCATTCAAAGGTACTCAGAAATTGGAATCAAAACAGAGTTTAGTGCAAAAAAGTTTTGAAATCCATGCATATGACAGATCCTCACAAAGTTCATGGAAAGTGAGTATTATGAGAAAATTATGTGTGGATTTCACAAATGTTTCTGTAGAACAAACTTATCTTTTAATTCCATGTTTCCACAAACTTTTTGAAACTCTCTCATATCTACTTGTCCTTCATTTGGTGACCACATAGGAACTGTTGCTAATGCTCTGAATTATGGCACTTATTAGCATTTTTAAACAAGAGATCTTTTAAAAACATTTTTAGTTTTATTTGAAAGGCAGAGTTACGCACAAAGGAAGAGAGAGGTCTTCCATCTGCTGATTCACTTTGCAAATGCCTGCAATGGCCTGGCCCAACCCCGTCCAAAGTCATAAACCTGGAACTCCATCTGGGTTTCTTACATGGGAGGCAGGGGCCCAAACACTCAGGCCATCTTTTGCTGTTTTCCAGGCCGTTAGCAAGGAACTGGATCAGAAGTGGAGCACTTGGTGTTCATATGAGATACTGGCATCACAGGCAGCAGCTTAATACACTGCACTCCAAAGCTGTCCCCACTTATCAGCATTTTTTGTGTTCCTTTAGGGATAAATTTACTGCTTGAAATATGTTTTAAAAAAATTACATAGTAAGGGTTGGGCATATGGAGTGGTGGTTAAGACATTGCTAAGGCTCTCACATCCCATGTTGGATTGCCTGTGTTGGAATCTTTCCTTGGTTTTCAGTCCTCACCCAAGCTGAAGTAATTGAGTCCCTCCCACCCATGTGGGAGACCTGTACTAGTAGACTGCTTCCTGCAATTGGTGAGTGAACCAGCAGATGAAGATCTCTTTTCTGCCTTTCAAATAAATAAATTAAAAAAAATTTTACAAGTACGTAGTAAAACTGCAGAACTTTGCTATCCATAAAATAATGTGAATAGTACTTGTCAGCAAAGTACATCTTGTAGGCCCAGCACTGTGGCACAGTGGGTAAAGCCACTGCCTGCAACGTTGGCATCCCGTATGGGTGTGGATTCATCTCCTAGACTGCTTCACTTTCAATCCAGCTCCCTGGTAATAGCCTGTAAAAAGCAGGGGAAGACTGCTGAAGTGTTTGGGCCCCTGACACCCACATAGAATTCCTGGAAGAAACACCTGGCTCCTGGCTTCAGCTTGGCTCAGCCCTGGCTGTTGTGGCCATTTGGGGAGTGAATAAATGAATGGAGGATCTCTCTCTCTCTATCTCTCCGCCTCTCTGTAATTCTTTCAAATAAATAAATAAATCTAAAAAAAAAGACATTATGATAGCTTTGTTAAGTCTTTTTCCTTTTCAAAAAATAGAGGAATCTAGGAATATTGATACTTGAGATGTTCTGTGTTCTAATACATTTATTTCATAGTTCTGAAAATATGAAAGCTTTGTCTCTATTCTCTGGTCCTTAACATATAAAAGATTTGAAACTGATTAAAATTTGGATAGTGATGTTGAAGGCACCGACATGACTTAGTGACGGTACTCAGGACACAGTGTGTAGGTAAACGTTAGTGGAACCTGAACTTCCTCAGCTGGAGAAAATTGGTCTGAGGAGTTACCAGTACAGCTCTACCACCAGCTTGCCTTCAGTGTCCCACCTCTGCCCCTGCCCCTGCCCCTGCCCCTGCCTCTGCCTCTGTCTCTCTCTTGGTGGCCCTCCTTTCATCTCAGAATAGAGGTAAGTGGGCATCCAACAAAATTATAAAGAAAAATAGAGTCTGAGCCCAGCAGATTTTTAAAACATATTATCAGCTTACAAATATTAAAACAGGATAGGAAAATAGGTAACAGATGATAAATCAGACTAGAAGGTCAAGAAATAAAGTAAAGGAAAACAGATTGTTAAGTAGTTGTTTGTATTTTCAGAAATAATTTTCTAATTCCTTAGGAAAAAAAAGGATTCCAAAATATTTCCTCACAGCTTGCCTCAAAATAAATTCTATGTGAAGTAAGATTTTTAATTTTTTTTATTTTTTAAAAATTTATTTATTTATTTGAAAGACACAGAGATAGAAGGAGAGGCAGAGAGAGAGAGAGAGAGAGGTCTTCCATCCACTGGTTGACTCCCCAGTTGGCCACCACGGCCGGAGCTGCGCCAGTCCAGAGCCAGGAGCCAGAAGACTCCTCCAGGTCTCCCACATGGGTGCAGGGACCCAAGGACTTGAGCTATCTTCTAGTGCTTTCCCAGACCATAGTAGAGAGTTGGAGAGGAAGTGGGGCAGCCAGGACTCAAACCATATGGGATGCTGGCACTGCAGACAGTGACCCAACTTGCTATGCCACAGCGCCAGCCCAGTGAAGTAAGATTTTAATGAGAAAATAAAAACTCCATAAAATTTTAGAATGAAGTAATTATTTTAGGATGGTAAGGGACTCAAAGCAAAACTCTAAGAATTGATTGGTTTATTAAATTTTAATTAAGAGCTTCTATCTGGTTAAATATGTACAATTGAAAAGTTTATAAACTTAGACTAAAAATCTGTGATTATATGGAGTTAATGTGTTTATTATATAGAGATGTTTAAAATAGAAATGTGGGGGCTGGTGCTGTGGTGTAGCAGGTAAAGCTGCTGCCTGTAGTGCTGGCATCCCATATGGGCGCCAGTTTGAGTCCTGGCTGCCCTACTTCCTCTCCAGCTCTCTGCTATGGCCTAGGAAAGCACTAGAAGATGGCCCAAGTCCTTGGGCCCCTGCACCCATGTGGGAGACCCAGAAGAAGCTCCTGCTCCTGGCTTCGGATTGGCCCAGCTCCAGCTGTTGTGGCCATTTTGGGAATGAACCAGAGAATGGAAGACGTCTCTCTCTCTCTGCCTCTGCCTCTCTATAACGCTGCCTTTCAAATAAATAAATAAATAAATCTTTAAACAAAAATAGAAATGTGGATGTTGTGATATAGCAGGTCAAACTGTTGCTTGGGGCACTTGCATCCTATATCATATGCCTTTTGATCCAGTTCCCTGCCAATGTACCTGGGAAAGCAGTGGATGGTTGCCCAAATACTTGGGCCCCTGCACCCATGTGAGAGATCCCAATGGAGTTCTTGGCTCCTGGCTTTGGATTGGCACATTGCAGGTTGTTGAAGACATTTGAGGAATGAACCAGTGGATGAGTGATTGTTTCTCTTTCTCTGTGTGCCACTCTGCCTTTCAAATAAATAAATATTTTTTGAAAAATGTCAAAACAATATCATAATTTGAGTTCATCAACAAGAAGTTCACTAAGGAAATATAAGTGCTTGGTCATTTGTTTACAAAATACATTTAGAGTAGGCATTGTGGCACAGAGGGTTAAGCCACTGCTTGGGACACCCACGTCCTGTGTTGGAGTGCCAGTTCAAGTCCTGGCTACTCTGTGCTTCTGATACAGCTTCCTGCTAGTGTGCTTGGGAGACAGTAGATAATTGCCCAAGTACTTGGGTTCCTGCCACCCACTTTGGGAGACTTGGATAGAATTCTTGGTTCCTGGCTTTGGCCTGGCCCAGCCTGGGCTGTTATGGGCATTTGGGGAGTCAACCAACAAATGGAAGATCTCTCTGCATCTCTCCCTTTTTGTCACTCTGCTTTTCAAAATAAATAAGTAAATGCCTTAACAGAATAAAAAATGCCTTTAACATCGTAAGTAATGAAATATATGCAAGAGAAACAAAGAAATTCCTTTTTTTTTGCATGTGTGACTTTCAGAGATTGTAAAGCATAGTATCTATGTTGTGGAGGGCATATTGGGAGTTGACACTATGGATGAGAGAGTTGTACTTTTTGGGTGAAAACTTTGGCGCTGTATAACAGATGCTAATTTTGTTTATAGTTTTTGATCAAGTAGATTCACTTAAAATATTTATCCTAAGGAAATAATTGGAAATAGGTGCAAAAATTTTTATGTAGAAATAGATTATGACATTAAGAATCATAAATACTTAATGCTAAGTTACTCATAATAAAATTATAATTAATGATTATTTTGATTAATAAAATATGTATCAATTATATCTCAATAAAGTTATTAAAATATATACATAAATATATAACATTCACACATGGATATTGGAAGAAGATACATCAAGTTGTTAATAGTAGTTATCTGTGGCATTATAAAAATTATTATTTCTATTTTTTTTTGACAGGCAGAGTTGGACAGTGAGAGAGAGATACAAAGAGAAAGGTCTTCCTTCCATTGGTTCACCCCCCAAATGGCCACTATGGCCATCACGCTGCACGGATCCGAAGCCAGGAGCCAGGTGCTCCCTCTTGGTCTCCCACGCAGGTACAGGGCCCAGGCACTTGGGCCATCCTCCACTGCCTTCCCAGGCCACAGCAGAGAGCTGGACTGGAAGAGGAGCAACCAGGACAGAACCGCAGCTAGCACGCAGATCTGCATGATCACGCACGACGGAGGGCTAACCTACAGAGCCGTGGCGCCGGACTATTTCTATTTTTTTTTTTTTGAAAGTTTTATTTTATTTATTTGAAAGACAGTTACAGCGAGAGGAAGGGACAGAGAGAGAGGTCTTCCATCCGCTGGTTCATTCTCCAGATGGCCACAATGGCCAGAGCTGCGCTGATCTGAAGCCAGGAGCCAGGAGCTTCTTCCAGGTCTTCCTCCTCCCTCTCTTATTCCAACTCTTATTTTTTACTGAGATATATTTCCAGTTGATTTTATACAAATATGATTAACTGTGTTAAGTAAAGAGTTCAACAAGGGCCAGCACTGTGGCACAGTGGGTTAAAGCCCTGGCCTGAAGCACCGGCATCTCATATGGGCGCCGGTTCTAGTCCCAGCTGCTCCTCTTCCAGTCCAGCTCTCTGCTATGGTCCGGGATAGCAGTAGAAGATGGCCCAAGTCCTTGGGCCCCTGCACCCGCATAGAAGACCCAGAAGAAGCTCTTGGCTCCTGGGTTCAGATTGGCACAGCTCTGGCCGTTGTGGCCATCTGGGGAGTGAACCAGCGGATGAAAGACCTCTCTGTCTGTCTCTTCCTCTCTCTGTAACTCTTTCAAATAAATAAAATAAAATCTTAAAAAAAAAAGGAGTTCAACAAATAGTATGAAGAAGAGGAAAAAAAAAACCTATTCCTTAACCGTAAAGACAAGGGCTATTCAAGTCATTGCTTTTCAAAGTGTCAATTTCATTTCTACAGATTTCCTTTTAGGTATCCTATTAGTTCTTGCAGATCAGGGAGAACATATGGTATTTGTCCCTTTGGGACTGGCTTATTTCACTAAATATGATGTTTTCCAGATTCATCCATTTTGTTGCAAATGAGTGGATTTTATTTTTTTTAACATTGTGTAGTATTCCATAGAATACATTTCCTATAATTTCTTTTTTTTAACCTAGTGGTTAAATGAAGAGTATATCATATTTTTATTAAATGTAAATAAATAATAAAAGTATATTATAATTTTATTAAACACAAGTAAGTGGGAATACTATTTCACATTATACTTCTGAGTTCAGGCTGAAATCAATAGAAACATTATGAAAATGTAAGTTAATTAACATTATAAATCACATAACTGTGAAAAAAGGAAAATGCTTACAAGCTGTGCATCCAATAGAGGATCAATAACCAGAATATATAAGGAGATCAAAAAACTCAGCGACAATAAAACAAACAACCCAGTTAAGAAATGGGCAAATGAAATGAATAGGCATTTGTCAAAGGATGAAATACACATGGCCAAAAGATACATGAAAAGATGTTCAAGATCACTAGTCATCAGAGAAATGCAAATAAAAAGCCACAATGATTTATTACCCCATTCCAGTTAGAATGACTATCATCCAAAAATAGAAAAAATAACAAATGACAGTAATGATGTGAAGAAAAAGATACCCTAATCGCTGTTGAGGGGGATGCAAACTGGTACAATCATTATGGAACACAGCATGGAGATTCTTTAAGAAACTAAAAATAGATCTATCATATGGGAGTCAGCACTGTGGTGCAGTGGGTTAAAGCTGCCCCCCTGCAGTGCTGGCATCCCATATGGGTGCCGGTTCGAGTCCTGGCTGCTCCTCTTCAATCCAGCTCTCTGCTATGGCCTGGGAAAGCAGTAGAAGATCTCCCAAGTCCTTGGGACCCTGCTCCCATGTAGGAGACCCAGAAGAAGCTCCTGGCTCCTGGCTTTGGATCAGTTCATCTCTGGCTATTGCGGTCGTTTGGGGAGTGAACCAGCAGAATAGAAGA